TCACTTTTGAGAAATTTCTTTTGGAAAAGGAGTCCCTGTTGTCCTGGCTGCTTCTTTATCCCTGGGCTCACATATTCTCTCCCATCAGTCTCCTGAGTAGTTGGGATTTGAGTTTCCACTTCATTTCTTTTTTAATCACTCTTTAAAAAGATTTGTTTTTAATATGTGTGCACATGAGTCCTGGTATCCACAGAGACCAGAGATGTCAGATCCCCCTGCAAATACAGGAAGTTGTGAGCCACCTAAAACAGGGCTCTCTACAAGAGCAGCAAGTGCTCTTCACTGCTGAGCATCTCTGTCCCCTACTTAATTAATGGCAGGGAATTTCTTTTAAATTTGCCGCTTCCTCATAAAACTCATCTTAGATATGATTAGGAAGGGCTCTTTGTAGAGCTAGTTCTGGGAGAGCTTCATGGTGGGTCCAGTTTGTTTCTACTCCAGCTGCAGAATTTTGCTTCATTTCACACCCCAACATGGACTGTAAAACCCTTGGATCATGTGAGTTTAGGCTCTGTACTGCACAAGACCCTGAGGGCAGGTTCCCCAGGCTAGCTCCTCTGTTAGCATGTTGCCCCTGTATTGAAGAGCACTTGTTCCTTCAGTGCCTTTCTTCATCTGTTTCTTCTTTCTTACCTTTTCTAAGGCTATCTGTGTGTGTGGTAGAATTTCATTTTCATTCATATCTTGACTTTTTGTCAATACTTTGCTTTTCTGTAGTGGTTGTGGTCAGTATTCAGTGGATACCCTAAACTTGATGACTTCGTAATTCATCCTGTGCCAGTTTGCATAAATCAGAAACCTTGTTCACTTTACCACACACTCGTCCCTGACCATAGGTTCTTGACTAGTTCCTCTAGATAGCTGTTCCCATCTTTCTGTTCTTTGTTAAAAATTAGGTTTCTCTGGCATTATTCCTTTTACCTGGAAGACTGCTAAGAGTTTCTTATCAAACCGGGTAGTGGTGCATGCTTTTATTTTATTTATTTTTATTTATTTTTATTTTATTTATTTATTTATTTTTGGTTTTTCGAGACAGGGTTTCTCTGTAGCTTTGGAGCCTGTCCTGGAACTCGCTCTTGTAGACCAGGCTGGTCTCGAGCTCACAGAGATCCGCCTGCCTCTGCCTCCCAAGTGCTGGGATTAAAGGCGTGAGCCACCATTGCCGGCATGCTTTTAATTCTTGTGCTCGCCAAGCAGTAATGGCCACACCTTTAATCCCAGCACTGAGGAGGCAGAGGCAGACTGATCGAGGCCAGCCTGGTCTTAGTTCAAGGATAACCAAGGCTGTTACACAGAGAAACCTTACCTGAACAAATGGAGCGGGGTGGGGGTGGGGGGGTTCTTATCACATTCCTGCCAGTGATGGTGTTCTTGATGTGTGATCTAGAAAGCTATTCAGGCTTCATTCTGCATTAACAGATGCACCAGGATGACCAGAGTGTGGATTCTTCTTTATGGTGGCTCTGCTAGACTGTTCATCTGCTCTGTGTGTGGCCACACATATCACCTCAGCAAAACTGGGTGCTCTGTTGCCTGTCACACAGTGGCTTTGATTCTTTTCAACCTTTTAAGTGATTAGAGTTTTGGGTGGCTGTTATTACTAGACTCTACTCTAGGTTCTGGGAACATGCTGATATACAGGCAGCTGTCCCCTTCTCTGCAGCTTCTGTATTTTCATGGAGGAAACAGAAAATGAGTTTGAAGCTTTTAAACAAGTAAAAATTTCAGGGTGTAAGAAATAGCGTTTGGGGGAAGTAGGCTGTACTGGAGAAAAGGCTCAGCAGTTAAGAGTGTACACAAATACAGGTAAAGCACCCATGTACATAAAACCAATGACACTTTTAATCTCAGTATTTAGGAGGCATATCCAGTCTAATCTCAGTGAGTTTGAAGCCAACCTGGCCTACATAATGATTTCTAGGTCAACCAGGGCTATATAGTGAGACCCTGTCTTTAAAACATAATAATAAAAATTAATGAACAAGGCAGGTGGATCTCTGTGAGTTCAAGGCCAGCCTGGTCTACATAGTGAGTTCTAGAACAGCGAGGGATACATAATGAGAAGGGGGAAAAAAGCTATGAGATCTGTCGGTTCTACAGGAAAGCACTATTGCAAACAACAATGAACAATAAAACTTAACTACTGGGGTTGGTGGCTCAGGAGTTAGAGCACTGGCTGCTTTTCCAGAGGACCCTGGGTTCAATTCCCATCACCTACAGGACAGGTTACAGCCATCTGTAACTCTAGCTGCAGAGGGTCCAACACCCTTTTTTGGCCTCCAACAACACCAGGCACACAGGTAGTACACAGACATACAGGCAAACTTGTGAAATAATAAAATAAAATTTTTAGCCAGGCAGTAGTGGTACAGGCCTTTAATCCCAGCACTTGGGAGGCAGAGGCAGGCGGGCCTCTATGAGTTCAAGGCCAGCCTGGTCTATGGAGTGAGTCCAGGACAGCCAGAGCTATTACACAAAGAGACCCTGTCTCAAAAACTAAAATAATAATATAAATATTTTAAACTGAATAAAACAAAATAACAGGTAGAAGGTAAATCAAAGGGTCCCGTAGCAATGTTGATGAGGAGCACAAAGGAACTTTTGTAAAGTTGGTTAGTCAGTGCCAACCATTTTTAAGAAAATATTTCATGCAGCAAGAACAGTAGGGCACAGCGACCCTGGGGATAATAAAACATTACTTTTTTCTCCATTGAGGGCTGCCACTGTGACTCCTAGTGGCACTGAACACTTCACATCTCTGAGTATGTGTAGTCCTCTGAGTAAAGCCATGTGAGTTGTGTCTGTTGGCTTCTGCACATCACGCTGTGGCAGAAGCCCACAGAGGCTGGAACATTTGCCCTATATCAAGCCAGGATTGGTACCCAGATATCCCAAGCTTCAGGTCCTGCCTGCTAAGCAGCAGACAAGAGTCATATCAGGGCTAGGTCTCCACACAATAGCTCTGTAGCTAGAGACTGACATCTACCTCTTTTTCCAGGTATACAAAAGAGCCAAGGCACTGGACCAGTCTGACAATGATATGTCTGCAGTGTACCGAGCCTACATACACTAAGCCTTGCCCATCCATCCACCCCTCCCATCTTCCCTCTGGCCTCTCTTCCCCAATGTGGGGTCAGGGTTCTGGGACTTAGCTCTGGACCAGTTACCTGTCTCCATTTCCTTTTATACAGACTCTGAGACTTGCATCAGCACAGTAAACAGCAGCACTCTCCCTCCCTGAGGCCCTGGGCAGGGATTGGAGGATCTCCACAGGTGACTGTGAAGAACTCTTGAGCTGGGCATTGGCCCTGGAGCAGGAGGCTGTGTATTCTCTCTGTTTCTCTTGTGTTCTCTGTCTCTGTCACACACACACACGCACACAGACACACACACACACACTCTTACCCACCCCAGGATAGAAACTGCCCAGAAACTGCTGCCTGGCTGTTCTTCCTCCAAGCTTGTCTTATCTCAGCACCCTTCTGGTCAAGGGACTAGAGGAACTAGAATTGGCAGGGAGCACAGGAAGCCTTCTCTCAACTTCCCCAGGAAAGAGGCTGGCAGAGGGTCCATGCTCCCGACTGGGCCCCTGAAGGAGAGACCCCTGAGCCATCATGAACCAGCAGACTCCCAAAGGAGGCTCTGTGGGCCTCCTCCTGAGGAGGATTTTCCTGTAGACACTACCATTGTGCAGCACCTCCCCAGAACGCCTTGTGAACTGAAGACACGAGCATGGCCACACAGACAACTGGCTCTATGACTACACGGCTGGCTCTGTGGCTGGAGCCTGCTCCTCCCAGGAGGTTTTGTTTGGATTTGCATTCCAACCCATGGGATGGGGTCTTGAGGGCACTGGGAGCGGTGGAGTGGGGGGGGGGTGGCTCCTTCCTCTTTCCGTTAATGGCAGTCTCTTCAGCCAGGCCACCTGTTCAACTTGCTCTACACAGGTCCCCTGCATGCCCCTCTTTCCCTCTTCCTCCCAGAGAGATAGTATTTCTATCACATCCTCTTTTGGCCCAGACCCAGCCTGACCAACACCAATAATAAACATTTCATAGATGAGCATTTCATAGGCTGGGCTTTTGAAGTAAAACCTCACTTCTGCCAGTTATCAATGGTTCCAAGTCCTGGGTTTGCTGGGACAGAAGAGAACTGGGCCTTGTTCTGTTAACCTAACTGCTCCTCAGAGATGGAGCCAGTCCTCTATAGGCCCCAGCATTTCTCCTTGGAGAGGGGACCAGAGAGAGAGGCTTAGAATGTCACATAAGAGGAATCACCTGAGGGGTGTGCCTTCCTCCTCATGAGTTAGGATTTCCAAAGCCACAATTTGACTTTTCCACTGGGAAGAACCTGGGATAAGGATCTCAGGACATAGGCATGGAGCAACAAATGCTTTTGGGGTTCAGTACAATTGCTTATTCACTGGGATGTTGAGCCTGTTTATGTCTGAACATATCCTGTCTTGATCCTGGGGGTTAGGGGAGGGGAAGATGCTGTAAGGAAACCGGTTAGTCAATGTTGTCTTAATATTGTTGACAATTCTGTAAAGTTCCTTTTTATGACTATTTCTGTTTAAGCTATTTCACCTTTTGTTTTGAAATCCTTCCCTTTTAAGGAGAAAATGTGACATTGTGAAAATGCTTGTAAGAAAGCCCCTCCTCCCCTTTTTCCTTTTAATGACAAATCTAGGTGATTAAGGTTGTGAATTTTTATTTTCGCTTTGTTTTTAATGAGCATTTGTCTTTCAGAATAGGATTGTGTGATAATGTTTAAATGGCAAAAACAAAACATGATTTTGTGCAATTAACAAAGCTACTGCAAGAAAAAAGAAAAATAAAACATTTCTTGGTACCACAGCAGTGCCACTTGTTCCAGAGCGCTTTGGGGACTTTGCGTGGGAGTCAGAGGGCATCCATGCCCAGGCTTCCTTCCAACGTCAGCCCACCTGAGTCCGCCTGTGTTCCTGCTGGGCGGTCGCCACCTGGCGGAACAATACAGAACGCGCAGTGAGGGATGGCTCTGCTGGCCAATCACTAAGCAGTAGAGATAGGTTGGTTGGCGTAGCATCCCGCCCCTGTTGAAGAACGGGGGTTAAGAAGGACGAATGGGCGGTGATGGGATCCGGAGCGGTAGCTGATCGTGTGCGGCGTCACTAGGTTGGGGGGTGGAGCTTGCGCCTCATCTGCCAATCAGTGAAGGGGTGAGGAGAAGGGCCGGGCACAGTGCACCAAGTTCCAGACTACAGACCTCAGAGAGGGCGAGCGGCCGCGACGATGGCGACCGCAATGGCTGCGAGCGCTGCAGAGCGGGCTGTGCTGGTGAGGCGCGGGCGGTGGGTGGCGGGCGGCAGGGGACCTGTGTAGAGCAGGGTTTGACGCCGCGCTGTCCGCAGGAGGAGGAGTTCCGCTGGTTGCTGAACGCTGAGGTGCACGCGGTGCTAAAACAGCTGCAGGACATCCTCAAGGTAAGTGCCGGTCACGGCCGACCTGCCATCCCTCTTTCCACCGGTCCCCGCAGCGGAGGCGGCTGAGCGTCGTGGCGTTCAGGTACCAACGCTCTCAGAAGAGTTACAGTCCAGACGCAGGCAAGGTGACATGTGTGAGTATGTGAGTGCAGCGAGGTATTAGACCCCAGGATTAACACGAGGTCTTGAGTGAGGACTAACTTTGAAACAGTGACATTTCATCTATGAACCGGGTGGTGGTGAATTTGTAAATCCCAGCGCTCGGGAGGATGAAGCTAGAGGATCACGAGTTAGAAACTAGCCGTGGGCTACATAGTGAAACACTGTCTCAAAACAAAAACTGATAACCCAAACTCTGAAGTATCCCCCTCCCTGCAGCGTGATCTCAGCCAATTTACATCCGTGAGCCTCTTCCCTGACCCTAACCAGCTGGGCTCCCAGAGCTATTGTGGAGATGAATAAACCATCTCACAAAAATGCCTAGCACGGTGACCTAGGAAAGCATGTTACTATGGCTACTGAATGGTTCCCTGCCTCTGATCCCAACACCGGATCACAGTGCTCCAGTTAGCTGGGTACTGTGCCTCTCTGTTCTGTGTTCCTACCTGGCAGCTCCCGGTATTCAGTCCATGGAACGAACAGGTTCACAGAGGCTTAAAGGCTTGGTAGGGCAAAGGCAGAGGAGCCAAGTCAGGCCTGCCCACCTTGTCCTTTTGCTGGCTAATTTGGCAACATATCTGGGCCTCGGAACGGAGCACTGACCAGACTGGTGTGTTGGAACTGCCCTGTCTTCCACAGGAGGCCTCTCTCCGCTTCGCTCTCCCAGGCCCCAGCACAGAAGGACCTACCAAGCAGGAGAACTTTATCCTGGGCAGCTGTGGGTAAGCTGGGTTGGGCAGGAACTTTGGGGAGGGCACTTTTGGAGTACCTGGGGGAGGAAATGTTTGTGGCACTATGAAGCAGCCTGCAGAGGAGGGGACAGTAGCAGGTACCCCTCTGACTCCTGTGTGTTATAGCACGGACCAGGTGAAGGGTGTGCTGACTCTGCAAGGGGATGCCCTCAGCCAGGCGGTGAGTCCCCCGGGCCCTGTTCCCTAACAGTGCTGCTGGTGATGAGGACGGTGATGGCCTCTTAGCTCTGCCACCAACTAGCTGCATGCCTCTGGGTAGGACCCTTGTGCTCTCTGGACCTGTTTCCTTGTATGTCTGTAACTTGACAGGCAACTCTAACACTACCTCATGAGACAGGCATAGATTCAACAAGGGACAAGAAGTGGGCGGCTTAGCCAGGTAGTAGTGGCGCACACCTTGAATCCCAGCACTCGGGAGGCAGAGACAGGTGGATCTCTGTGAGTTTGAGGCCAACTTGGTCTACAAGAGCTAGTTCCAGGACCGCCAGGGCTGTAACTCAGAAAAACCCTGTTTTGGGAGGGTGGGGAGGAGTGGGTGACCTGACATCTGGACCCTGTGAAATGTGAGTGTTGGCACCCTAGGCAACCTGGCCCTGGATCAAAATTAAGTCAACACCTGAGCTTTGGACTATGCAAGGCTTCAAGGCACGGGGGACAATCCCTGTCTTTGTTGATCTCACAGCACTCCCTCCTCTTAAGACCTTCCCCTTTCTCAGCTGCTTTTCCCCTTCACTGCTTTGTGGGCCTGAGTTCCTGTTTCTACACATCGTGTTCACTTAACCCCCAAGTGCATGGGCCCTCAGCCACCCATCTACTGCATTCCTGGCTCCAGGGATTCAGGAAGGACAGAGGTACCTTTGCCTGCTTATCACACTCTGGCCCATAGGATGTGAACTTGAAGATGCCTCGGAACAACCAGCTGTTACACTTTGCCTTCCGGGAGGACAAGCAATGGAAGCTACAGCAGGTGAGGTCCATTGCCCAATGGCAGGCCCAAGCAAGGGCCTCCCTGGGATTGATTGCCTTTCATGGGGAAGTCTGGCTGTAGGGACTTTGTGACCACAGCAAACATAGGAGACTGTTTGCTAGCAGAACTGCAGTGGTGATGCCTTGGGGCCCTAGTGTCTGCTCCACATGACGCATGTGAAACTGGCCCTACCTTTGTAACTTTGACCACATGAGGACAGCTAAAGATCCCTTTGAATGCCACTTACTCCAGAGGGGCTTCCCAGGTACCTGGGATCATACACAGGTCTCCTGCCCACTATACACACACCCTGATCTGAAGCTGGTCCCTACCACAGGGCTTTTGCCTATGTGTACTGCTCTGTCTGGATTCTTACCCTTTCCTGCTTCTGTGAGTTTGGGGTTTTTTGTTGTTTGGTTTTTCGTGTTGGGGGGCGGGGTCCTGAACTTTCTAAGCCACCCAGGCTGGCCTTGAACACAGAGATTAACGAGCCTCTGCGTCCTGAATGCTGGGACTAAAGGCGGTGCCATCACCACCCAGTCCTGTGAGGTCTCTCCTGTCCTTGTTTATTTCCTTCTTGAGCCCTGCAGGATTATTTGTAGGTGTACTAGGAGTTGTATGTGTCTGTGACAACTAGGCATCTGTGACACAGGGCCAAGAGCCAGTGTGCCTTGGCGGTCAGGATTATCCAGGGCCTGGTCATCCAGCTTTAAAGACTACAGCTGTGGAGGGTATTGTGACCATAGATGATGCTACTTTCTCCTGAGAGATTAGCCCATCAAGTGGGGTCCTGTGTTATGGGATCAGGCTGAGAACTCAGAAATGTGGCTCTCCTGAAACTAATAGACGTTGGTCATGTGGGTGGTGGGACTGTTCCCAGATCCAGGATGCCAGAAACCACGTGAGCCAAGCCATTTACCTCCTGGCAAACCGGGACGAGAGCTACCAGTTCAAGACAGGAGCCGAGGTCCTCAAGGTGACTCCTGTTGTCCCACCCCTTACTCCAAACAACACCAGCCCCCTGGCCCCAGGCTTCACTAGAAGCTGCCCCTTTCCCAGTCATTGCTCACGGATCTGGCCACAGTTTCTGGCTGATGACCTGGAGTGCAGTATCAGGCCTGGTTCCAGTCACCAGACCTCGCCGTGACATGTGCAGCCTTAAGTTCTTTGCTACTGGGAGCCCCCATTTGCTCACCTGGTGAATCCCCTGTTTCCCCATATCTGCCTGTTAGTATTGAAGTGGTAGTGCCGGAAAATCCTGTTACAGAGCAAGGCCACATTACGGTATGTGAGGACAGCTGTCAGATGCCCAGGACTCTAGCTTTTTCTCTAAGATCCTCACCCCAGGTAATGGCAAGCACCCCTACTGGGGTTACAGAGTTTAGGCCTGGGAACCATAGTCACCTGGCAGGAGTAGAAGCTACAGATGTTGCTCACTGATGCGAGGGGGTGGGACACAAGGGAGCCCAGCGGCCACCGCTCAGGTAGCAGTGATGACCTGCCCCTTCCCAGCTCATGGACGCTGTGATGCTGCAGCTGACCCGAGCCAGAAACCGGCTCACCACCCCAGCCACCCTCACCCTGCCTGAGATTGCTGCCAGCGGCCTCACGGTTAGTACCTCAGATAGCCTCTGCCCAAAAGACGTCCCTCCTGAGAAGCACAGCCAGTGGGAGTTCTGTGCCTGGACAGTTTTCTGGGTTCAGTTCTTGGCTCCCCAATTATGTTAACCCAGTTTTCAGCCAGTGGCTTCCAACCTAGCAGCACATAGAGATTATGGAGACAGGTGGGGAGCCTTTAGTGCCCCAGCCTATGGAGAAGCACCTGGGGTTAGGGCTGGGGCCCCCCCATAAGGTAATTCATACCCTGTAGTGGTACAGCCTAAAGTGGGAGAGGGCCTTATTCCTCCTCCCCACTCCCACTTACTCTCTCCCCCAGCGGATGTTTGCGCCTACCCTACCCTCTGACCTGCTGGTCAATGTCTACATCAACCTCAACAAGCTATGTCTCACCGTGTACCAGCTGCATGCCCTGCAGCCCACCTCCACTAAGGTAAAGTTCTCTCCCAATGCCCCCACACCAGCCCTGCTGAGAGCTCTCCACCCCGCCCTCACGGACTGTGCTGCTTCTGCCTAGAACTTCCGCCCCTCTGGAGGTGCAGTGCTCCACAGCCCTGGAGCCATGTTGTAAGTACACAGTAAGATGTCCTAGAGCCCTTTCCATCCTCCCCTCTGCATCTGAGGTCCAGGCCTACCCTCAGGGGTCCACTTGTCATTTTTCCCCAGTGAATGGGGCTCCCAGCGCCTAGAGGTGAGCCATGTGCACAAGGTGGAATGCGTGATCCCTTGGCTCAATGACGCCCTGGTGTACTTCACAGTCTCCCTGCAGCTCTGCCAGCAGCTCAAGGATAAGGTGTGTCGGGCACCTGGGGCAGGGAAGGCCGTTCAGGAGCCACGTCATGCTTCAGTGCCCCCAAGTTGTAAAGCCCATTGGCAACAGTTCCCAGACATGAGCCCCTTCTGTAACCTTGACATCACATCTGGGTTCTGGGGGGTATAGCACCCCACTGACCATACCCCCTGAAGCCAAACCTGTTGTTGACCACACCCCCACCCTCTGCAGATCTCTGTGTTTTCCAGCTACTGGAGCTCCCGGCCCTTCTGAGCAAGCACCTGCCGGAATCCTCCTCCCAGGAGGGTGGTCCTGTCCTGGAATCCCTCTGCCCAACACATACCCCCTGTGATGCCTGTCACTGCCAGGCTCTCCCTCCTCACCACCCTGGGACACCTTTGCACTGCTGGAAGCAAACATTCGAGGCACCTAGAGAAAGGGGTGCTGGCCTGGTTATGATGGGGGAGGGCAGTCAAGTAGGTGGGCTGAGGTGTGGCCATGGTCCTAACCCTGCCTTTCTGAACTCTCTGGGAACCTTTGGACTAAGGGTGGGGCCGGGGCTCCCATTAGAGAAGGGGGGGGGGGCACTGAGCTGTGCCGCACAGGGAGGAAGAAGGGCCCAGGCCGCAGGAGGGAGCCTGTGAATGAGCCGCAGTGCTGCGACGTTTGTCCTGTAACCTCGGCCCACCTCTAAGAAATAAAATAAAGGTCAGCTTTTGACTGGAGGCTCTTGTCTGTCTCTGCTCAGTAGGACTAGGTTGATCAGTGGCCTCCCATGTTCTTATCACCTGGTTTCCCCCTAGTTGAGACACCATGTCAGGCCCTTTGAAGCAGAGTCTGGCCTGGGGTTTGCCATCCTCCTGCCTCAGCCCCTTTAGTGTTGGCATCACAGCCTGTGCCCAGGCAGAACACATTTGAGAAAGGGAGCCCTGGCTGCAGAGTGGCCCTGTGGGATAGTGACAGATGTCAACCCAGGAGTGCAGGCCCTGAGTCCACCACACGGTCCATGGCGGGGTTAGAACACAGTCCAGACTCAGGCTTTGGCAAAATTGGCTTTGTTACTGTCATCCAGCAGGACCCATGCCAAGGTCTAGCATTAAGGTTCCAATGCCAAGTTATCCACACCCTTGGGCTTTTCCTGCAAGAGAGACAGAGAAGCCCTGTGGGTAACACTCCCAACCTCTGCCTAAACCCTCTGCAGAAGAGCCTGCCCCTGCCTGTCCCACTTAAGAGGCTGCTATAGGAGCTCTCCTTCCTGAGTGACACCCCTTCCCAGTCTTACCTTCCCAGGGCTCACCTTCCGGGGTCTGGGGGAGGTGGTGCAGCAACAGCAGCAGCAGTGAAGAACAACCAGTAACAACAACAACACCACAGTGCCTGGGGACCAGACAGACAGGCATCCAGATGTGGCCCTGCCCCAACACCAGGGTAGAGCCTGCGATCAGAGCCACACTCACCCACAAATGTGAGAAAGACCACAAAGGCCGCGATGTCCCAATCAGACTGGAACAGCTGGTGGCTCTTGAGCCTCCCCAGTACTTCCTCTGCAGTGGCCTCCAGCTCCTGCTTCAACTCCTCAGCTGCCTGTCCCATCGTGGCTACCTGCCCCAGCCCCCCAAAGGACCACCTCAGGTCATCCACAACCTCCTAGACCATACCCTAGGAAGACCCTGCCTGTGAGCCCTCCAGCCTCCTCCTGCTCCCTCTGCTCCTGACCCAGCACCCCCTCCCTTCCCTGTCACACCTCTCTCCACCATCTCCTTCCAGACCTGCTGGCTCCCTTTCCTCCGCTGGCCCTTAGCGCCCCACCCCCACCCCGCTGACCCTTACCTGGCAGCCTCTACCCACGCACCATCCCTTTACCTTCTCTCTCCCTAGCCAGGCCTCTTCCAGTGCCCCACCTGCCTCTGGTGGTGCCCTGTACCCCAAACCAGGTAAGCCCAGGGTCCTGGAAATTCACACTACTTCCTGCTTCCGGATCCACACTACCTGAAACCTTAGCAACCAGCTCCGCCCTCTCCTCTGGGCCAGCTGAGGGTGTAGAACTGGCAAAGGCCAGGGCCCAGCTGACTGCCCGGGCTGGGGAAGAAAGTCACAGGCTGTCTGTTGCTCTGTACCCCCTATTCTCAGTATCCCAGATGTCTTAGTTACTTTTTCTGTTGCTTTGACAAAACACCATGACCAAGGCAACTTCTGAAAGAAAGCATTTAATGGGAACTCAAAGTTTCAGAAGTTAGAGTCCATAAGGGCCTGGGGCCGTTGCTCTTGGAACTCTGAACTTCCCCAGTGAAAGCAAGCAGAGTGGGCTCTCCCCTGTTTTCTTGGCACCTGAGGGTCCAGATGCTATGCTCTCAGCCTAGATACATGTGACCATAATACAACAATTTATTTCTAATTTCTTTTTGTGTGTGTGTGGGGGGGGGGGTTCAAGACGGTGTTCCTATGTAGCCCTATCTGTCCTGGAACTCAGTCTGGTCTCAAACTCACACCAGCCTCTGCCTCCTAAGTGCTGAGATTAAAGGTATGTGCCACCACCGCCCGATTGCCTTTTTTTTTTTTTAAGATTTATTTGTTTATGAGTGCACTTTAAGCATGTATACCTGCATCTCTGAAGAAAGCATCAGACCCCATTATAGGTGGCTATGAGCCACCACGTGGTTGCTGGGAATTGAACTCTGGACCTCTGAGAGAACAGCCAGTGCTCTTAACCACTGAGCCATCTCTCCAGCCCTGACAATTTCTTAGTCATGTGCGTCTTAACTGTTTGCAGCCGGGTTCCAGTATTGGGCCTCTCATTCTCACCTGGTACACAGCACACACCTGCCCTGGCTCAGTCATACAGTGATCCGAAAGACATAACTTCACTCTTGCCACTTTTCCAGATGTGCAAACTGGGGACTGGGAACAGAGTGCAGTTGGTGAAGGGCCTGGTGTGTGCAAGGCCTTGGACTTGGTGCCCAGCACCACCTGAACTGGGATTGTAAAAAAGACCACAAGTTCAAGGTTATCCTCAGCTACATAATAAGTTTGAAGCTAGGCTGAGCTATGTGAGACCCCGTTTCAGAAAAGATTTTGGGCCGGGCAGTGACCACACACACCAGAACTCAGGAGGCAGAGGCAGGCAGATCTCTGTAGGTTTGAGGTCAGCCTCATCTCCAGGGTGAGCTCCAGGACAGCTAAAGCTACATGGTGAAACCCTGTCTCAAGTTTTTTTTTTTTTTTTAAAGAAAATTGGGAGGCTGTCAAGATGGCTCAACAGATAATAAACAGTGTCTGCTGAGTTCAGTCCCTGGGCCCCACGCGATGGAAGGAGAAGAGTCTGTCAAGCTGTCACCTCCATGTGCACACTGTGCCACTTGTACACAGGCACACAGTAAAAGACAAATCCCTTAAATAAAAATTTATTTACAATAAAAAACACACACACACACACAAACAAAAGGGCAACTAATGAAAGTCAGATAGACTCACTTGTCACTGTGATGGACAAACCACAAACTCAGTGGCTCCAAAGAGAGCGTGCAGATCCTCTCGGCTATATAGATCAGCCTCCAGTGTGAACTGGCTGGACTGTGGAGGGGATGCATAGCTCTTGCTTTTTCTAGCCTACAAGACCCTGCCAATGTGTGAGTGTAGGCACATCTCTGATCCCTCTGTTTTAGCAGTCCTGCCTGTAAAACTGAACAGGAATAGTGTCAGCTTCCTCAGGTATTCATTCATTCATTCTGGAGAAAGGGTCTCTCTACACAGCCCTGGTTGTTTGTGGAACAAATGGAAATTTGCCACTGGGGTTAAAGATGTGCACCACCAAACACCCAGCCCCAGGATGTGGGAATTACATGCATTGCTAACCCCAAGGAACTCTCTCAGAACAGCAGGATGCTGTGCTAAGTTGCTTGTATTTCCTTGTGACAAAATAGCAAAGGAAAACAAGAAAGGTAAGGTTGACTTTGGCTCGTGGTTTTAGTCCATGGTAGCAATGTCTGTCCTAATCAGGGTTTCTATTGCTGTGCTGGAACACAATAACCAAAACAACTTGGGAAGGAAAGGGTTTATTTGGCTTACATACCCTGAATCACAGTGCACTGAGGGAAGCCAAAGCAAAAACTCAAACAGGACAGGAACCTGGAGGCAGGAGCTGATGCAGAGACCATGGGGATGCTGCTTACTGGCTTGTTCCTCATTGCTTGCTCTCCTGCTTTCTTACAGAACTGCAAGACCAGCAGCCCAGGAATGGCACCACCCACAATGGGTTGGACCCTCCCACCTCCCCCACCAAAAACTAATTTGTATGGGCTTGCCTGCAGCCCAATCTTGTGGAGGCAATTTCTCAGTTGAGGTTCCCTCCTCTCAAATGGCTCCCTGTGTCAACCTGACATAAATCTAGCCAGGACAAGATGGAGAAGGAGCTCAAGAGGAAGTGGGCAGAAGAGAACTGAGCCAGCTGAACTAGGATAGGAGAAGTGAGAACGTGGGGCAAGGCAATAGTGTGCGCCTCTCATCTACAGCTGGACTAGCACACTGTCGTGCCTGTCCACCTATGGTCACCTGGGAGTAGCTGACCAGTGCTTACAATAGAGCCCACACAGAGACATCTGTCCACCCCTCCGGACGTGCAAACCTTAGGGCTTGCTAAGTCAATGTCAGAAAACCAGTCTGAAAGGATCACGTGAGATGAGTTTGGATAAAAGAAGCCTGGAGCCCCAGAGATACCGGGAGGAGTGAGGAACGGAAGAGAAACTCCTGGGCAGCGACTGTAGCCTGCGGAGCACACCTAGCTTGGGAGGCTATGGGTTTCAACCTTTGTTGCCAGAAATAAAGACTGAGATGTCCTCAATTTTATATTTTTTTTAATGTGTATGAGTGTTTTGCCTGCATGTGTATCTGTGCACTATGTGTGTGCAGACCAGAAGAGGGAGTTGGAAACCCAGAACTGGAGTTACATTTGGTTGAACCCCCACGTGGGTATTGCAATCAAACCCAAGTCCTCTGGAAGAGCAGCCAGTGCCCTTAACCACTGAGCCATCTCTCCAGCCCCAGATGTCCTCAATTTAATTGCAAGGAAAAGGTTGGAAATATTTTTTGCATTTATTGTTTATGAATGTGTTTATTCATATTGTATTGCTGTATTGTGCTTGTTGTTGGGGCAACACATGCCACAGTGTGTGCTGGAGATCAGAGGACAGCTCATAGGAGTAGGTTTCTTCTTTCCATGTTTGTGTAGATTTGGGGGATTGAACTCATATCATCAGGTTTGTCAGCAAGTACCTTGTGTTAGCTATTTTTTTGTCAACTTGATGCAAGCTAGAATAATCAGAGAAAAGGGAACCTCAACTGAAAAAAAAATGCCTCTAAGCCTGGTGGTGGTGTCATATCCCTTTGATCCCAGCAAGTGGATCTCTGTGAGTTTGAGACCAGTCTGGTCTACAAATTGAGTTCCAGGACAGCCAGAGCTGTTATACAGAGAAACCCTATCTCAAAAAAATCAAAAATAAATAAATTAAAATTAAAAAGTAGATAATAAGGCAGATTTCTGAGTTGGATGCCAGCCTGGTCTATAGAGTACCAGGACAGCCATGGCTACACAGAGAACCCTGTCTAAAAAAAAAAAAAGTAAGACTGGGCTATGAAGCTTAGTGTGGTGGCACACACCTTTACTTCCAGCACTCAGGAGGTAGAGGCAAGCAGATCTCTGTGAGTTCAAGACCAGCCTGGTCTACAGAGTGAGTTCCAGGACAGTTAAGGCTGTTACACAGAAAAGTCTTGTCTTGAAAAACCGCATGCAGAGATACAGACAGACAGACACACACACATACACACACACACACACACACACACAGGTTGGACTATGTGGCATTTTCTTAATCAGTGGTTGATGAAGGAGGACCTAGCCTACTGTGGGTGGTGCCACCCCTGGGCTGGTGGTCATGGGTTCTATAAGAAAGCAAGCTGAACAAGCCATGAGGACCAAGCCAGTAAGCATCCTCCATGGCCTCTGTATCAGCTCCTGCCCTGCTTGAGTTCTGATTTCCTTTGACAACAAACTGTGATGTGGAAGCTTAAGCCAAATAAACCCTTTCTTCCCCAGCTTGTTTTTGTCATGGTGTTTCATGACAGCTTCACCCTCTGAGCCATCGTACCAGCCTAGAAATCCTGGGTTAATCCCATGACAGTCAACCACTCTTGTAGCCTCTCTATGTGTAAACTTTGCTGATTGGTAACCCCCAGCAATCCAAAGGCCAACAGGTCTCACACAGGCACTCCTGTGCTGAAGCTCTGCCCCTTCCCATCTCTCTCTCTCTCTCTCTCTCTCTCTCTCTCTCTCTCTCTCTCTCTCTCTCTCTCCAGAGAGGAGGTTGCAGCCTTCCACCTGTGAGGTTTGTAAAGGTATTCTCACTCTGCTCAGAGAACATATCCAGCCACTCTGTACCTGCTGCTGGGAGCTGTGGGATCCTTGTCTCAGGATCTGGGCATCTGCCATATGACTAGCATGTGGGACAGCCCAATCAAAGCTTGTATTACAGAAAGCCCTCCATATCTAGACTTTGGACAAGAGTTAAGGGAGAAAAACTAAGTGTGGTGGTACACACCTGTAATCCTACAGTTGAGGGACACAGTCAAGAAGATCAAAGTTCAAGATCACCCTGGTCACAGTTGAGAGCAGCCTGGGCATATGATAGATATCCTGTCTCAAAAGTAAAGTGTTATGTGGCCCGCTCAGGAGGGCAGAGTGGCCAGGGCTTTTTATTTTATTTTTTGGTTTTCCAAGGCAGGGCTTCTCTGTGTAGCCCCGGTTGTCCTGGAACTCACTCTGTAGACCAGGCTGGCCTCAAACTCAGAGATCCACCTGCATCTGCCTCTGAATGCTGGGATTAAGGCGTGCACTAGCACCACGTGGCTATTTATGTTTAGTGTGTGTGTGTGTGTGTACATGTTTGTATGTATATGCATATCTGTGTGTGCGTATGAATTTATATATATGTGGAGGACAGAGGTTGATGTCA